TAGAGAAGTTGTAATTTTAATATTATATGAAAATAATTTGTTAGCAAAATTATATTAGATGATTAAAACTTTTTTGTCTACTTTACTTTAATTTTATTTGATATTTAATTATCAATCATATATACTGTTTTTTTTTAGTATTGACAATGATTTGTTAAATGAATATGAATTAAAGAGGATATTATTATATTATAAGTTTTTGATACTAAGAATAATAATAATTAAATATAAGAAGAGTTTAAAAAAAAGATATAAGGTTTGATATAGAATCCTTGTAATATAAGACTTTATGTCCAAGTGATTAGGGCTTTTTAAAAATCCTTTTATTAAATAAATCCTTTAACCTTTTATAAATAATTAAAATATTATTTGACTAGCTTTAAATACTCAATAGTAAAGTAAACCATTTTCACTATACCAATTACAATATATTACTGCTTAGCAACTCAATGGCAATTAGCATTACAAGAACTGTCCTCCTTATATGATAATAATGTACAAGCCTATCAAAATATTTATTCCAATTAATTTATAAAAATAAGAAAATTTATTAACAAAGAATTATTAAATTAATATTAAGATTTAAAGATAATTTTATTAAAGGAATTAGGAAGGAAATAAAGGTCAAATATAATTATAAAGGTAAAGGAAGTTGAAGTAATGTCTTTTTGATCAGAAGGGCAAAATGGTTATTCTTATATATAGTTTGAAGTTGTATGATTATTCTTTACTTGTATATCAAAGATATTTTTTTACAAATTCATTTTTTATTTTGAAATGAAAATCTCTAAATTACTAACGATTCTATTATTTAAATAGCCTTAGTGACTATAAGTAACTATTATCTATACGTGATTTTACTTATAGTTTCATAGAGCGACTTTGACTATTTAATTAGTAAAATAAAGAGATATTTTGTCTCAAAGATTGTTCACCATATAAAATTTATAGAAATTCAAAGGATTTTCACAATTTCATAAGTCAATCACGTGATCACGTGATCTCCTACGTCCAACTTTCTTGAATTATTACATTATTTCTTCCTATAAATAATATTTTCAATAATATTTTCAATAATATTTTCATAAAATAATAATAAAATAATGTTTAAAAAAAATAAAATAATAATATAAAAATATATAAAAATAATATAATATTATAAAATTTAATTATTTTTATAACAATATATTAACAAATAATACTGTATATTAAATAAAATGCAGTTAATGATAAAAAAGTTTCAAATATCATTAGATTTTGAACAAATCTCTAAAAAAATAAATATTAACAAAGACTTTTTGAACTTTATTATTAATCAGTAACAAAATTTCTTTATAATATATATAATTATTATTCTATAAAATATTTTTTAAATATACAATAGATTATAAAATTTTAATGAATTTTGTTAAATATATTAAATTTTTTTAGTATATCAAATTATAAAACAAGACTTATTAAATAAAGTTTACAAAAGATTAATTATGGTTATTAAATTAATTAAACAAAAATATAAAGCAAAAAAACTATATTAAATTTTTATCTTTTTTTATATTTGCATAAATATACAATTGGTGATATAAAGATCTGGAATTTTATTATAGTGTATAAAAAATACTATAGACAAGTCATTTTAAATTTTTTCTAAAAATGGCTTTTATATATTATGCCCATGATCACCTATACTGACATAATAAATAATTAAGCTTGTTTTTTATAATGAATTAATATTTATAAATAAATCATATTACATAACACATGTCTTGAAATATAATGAACTATTATAAGAGAGCTATAGGAAAAAAATATTTGAAAACCCTCAGAAATCATAAAAATTATAGGCTATCCTAAGTTCACAGTATATGATCTTACAAAAAAAATCAAAAAATATAATATCATTAAATATGACTCTATCCTTAAAAGGCCTCCTCTTTTTTTGACTCAAAATCGCCATCACCTCGGTTTGCTCATTCATAACAATCAAGTAGTTTCAGTAGTTGAAATAAGAGATAGGCTTATTAAAAATGATTCAAATTTTCAAATATCTACTTATACTATTCAACATACCTTTAGTAAAAACCTTCAATATATTGTTTATAGACCTTTATAAGTTCCTCTTCTCAAGTCAAATCATATTACTTTTTGTCTCGAGTGGGATCAAAAACACATGTATGACAACTGGTCACAAATGATTTTTTCAGATAAAATTACATTTCAGATATTTAGGAATACTCAACTAGTGCATTATTGTCATGGGGATTAATGTTCATACTAACCCATAGTAAAATATCTGTATAAAGTTCATACTTGAAAAACATTCTCTTTGTAAGGGCCAATCATGTTGTTTTTATTTATAGAGAACCTAAACTTACATAAATATTGTGAAATTCTTTCTTCCTATCTATTTTTAAACATTTACAAAGCTGGCTCAAGGTGGCTGTTTCAACAGGATAATTCTTTTGTTCACATGGCAGGTGCCACAAAAAAGCTTTTTGAAGATTATTATATTTGCATGATTGACTGGTTTATGAACTTATCTGACTTGAATTCCATAGAGAACTTATGGCAATACTTAAAAAAAAAGTAAAAAAAAAGATTAATATTCATATGATGAAAAAAAAAAATTACCATGAATAAGTTTCAAGAAATAATCAGGTAAGTGACACTTTCCTTAAGTTAGCATAAAGTATAATTAATCATATTATGGAGCTCCTAAAGAAAAATAAAAAGAAAATCAATTATTAAATCATTATGTAATATGATTTATTATATTTTTAACTATACTATAAAAAATTTTTATCATAAAAAAATGAGTAAAAAAATTTTTTTATATATTATAATAAAATTCTGGATCTTTATGTCACTAACTATATATATTATTATATATGATTATATATTTTTGAATACTTTTCATTTGAAAAAATAAATAATATACTTGATAAGTTTTTAATATATATTAGTTTTATTATTTACAGTATTCATTAATAAACTTTAATATAGATTTTTTATTAAATATTATTGAAAAATTAAATTAGAACTAATATAAAGATTAATGAAAATCACTAAATTTTCATTTAATATTAATCTATTCAGATAAAATAAAATTTGAATTTCTAAATAATAAATTAAATATTGGTTCAATTTTTAAACTAGATCAGTTTTTGATTAATAAATTATATTAATTTTTAAACAGTATATCTAATATTTATAAAACAATTATCAATAGATTTGAAAAATTTTCAAGTAAATTATTGTATTTAAAAAATTTGAATTTAATATTATTTATCAAAATATTGAATTTATTAATTGAATATTATGAGGTTTTATATAAAATAATGAACTTTCAAAATTCATTTACAAATAATATTAATTATTCGATAGTTATTTAAAATAGAGTAAATTAATATGGAAAATATTGAATAGAAAACAAAATTTTTGATTCTCTTATGTTTTTATAAAATATAAAAGATTTATTTGTCTTTGTTTGATTTATAAATCATAATAGAAATATCAATTTATATTTAGGACAAGTTTAATTTTTTTTTATATATTTAGTTAATTTTTTGAATAATGTTGTATATTATAAATTAATTTTTATTCAATAATTTAAACCAGTTAATTTGGCAGATTTGAGATTTTATTTTGACTCAAAAAATAAAATGAATATTGAATTATGGAATACTAAATTTTACTTAAGTAAATATAAATATATAATTTCTATTTATAATATTTTTAATCAATTTCACTAGTTGAAATTAGATTATTTAACAATATATCACTCATTAATCATTTGGCATATAATAAATAATTCATAAACAATTCATCAATAATTCATTAATAATTTGTCAATAATTTGGTATTTTAATTTGGTAACAATTAACAAATTATTGATGAATTGTTTATTTTTATACTGAATAATTGACAAGTAATATATTGTCAAATAATCCAATTTCAATTAGTATTTATTTTATTAGATATAAAATTTCAAATTGATATAATTCTTGTAAATATTTAATTATAATTTTATTAAAATACAAGTATAATATTTAAAAATACTAAAAATTTAGTTAAATTAAGTATAATATAATTTGTATTTAATTTGAATTTTTAAAAAATATTTCAATTATTATAATTAATTAACAAGTATTAATATATTAAATAATTGATGGGTATTAGCAAATTAAATAAAAATAAAATAATGATTTATTATTTGACATATGTCAAATTATTGCTAAGTAATATTATTTTGAATAGTTTTATATTTGAATATTTGATAAGTAACAAGATGTTGAATGGTACTATTTTAACTAGTATAAGTTTTTTTAAACTTTTAAAATAAACAATACTTTAATTAAAAAAACAAGAAAAAAACTAAATAAATAAAAATTCAGTATTTTTCAAAAATTGTATTGTAATAAATTACTAATAAATAATTGAAAATTATATTGTTAATCAATTTTCTTTATAATAATACAAAAACATATATAGTGATAATTAATGAATGCTATTTTAAAGTAATAATTTAGAGAATTAACAAAACGAGTTGGTTCTCAAACTTATATTATTATATTTATTTATTAATTATATCTTAAGTATTATAAATTTTTTATAGTTATAATAAAGCTATCTATCAAGTTTTCTATATTAATAATATAAAAAAGATCTTGTATACACAGTGAAAGTCGATATAACGAACTAATCGGTTCCATTAATAAAAATTTTCAAAAATCCGTTATAACGAAGAAATTCGGTATAGCGGATAAAATACAATAACCCGTTCTCAACGTCAATCCGGTATATTGAGATTTTACTTAGTGTCCGTTATATCGAGAGTCCGTTATATCGACTTTGACTGTGTATTAGTTTTTTCCTATATTATATCTAGAGGAATATTTTATAGTCAGATTACATGTACTGTATAAACAAATCTCGTGATCAAACAGTGGAGATAAAAAAAGTGTTCCGAGTTGAGCATAAGAATTTTAATTCATAATTTCATAATGCAGAATACTTCGATTTCTTTTACTTCTAGTGAGTCTCTATTTCGTGCTTTAATATCGACTGATTTTAGACATTTCAGTGATTCAAACAATTATTTTAATGAAGGTAATAAATTAAGTCGAGAAGATTATCGCCGTCAGAAAGATCTCGAAGCGGCAAGAAAAGCTGGTACAGCTCCCGCTGAACAAGATGAGGAGGGAAAAGACATCAATCCTCACATTCCACAATACATAGCCAAAGCACCATGTAAGTTCAATTGTTCAATCTAGAATAGAAATGATACCCTTCCTCGAGTGCATTAACTCAATTAGTTGCTTTGCTTATTTTAGGGTATCTTGACACCGGAAGACCTACTTTAAAACATCAAAGGATTAATGAACCATCATCTAAAGTATTGGATGAAAAGTGGTACGCGCGTGGCCTTCGAGCGGTATGCTTAAAAAATTTTACACTTTGTTTTCATTGTAGAATTATCATTTTAATAGTTTTTCTCGCTAGGGCCCTGCTGCGACTAAATTTCGCAAAGGAGCATGTGAAAATTGTGGTGCAATGACACATAAAACAAAAGATTGCATGGACCGTCCTAGGAAATCGGGCGCTAAATGGACCGGACAAGATATCAAGGTCTTATTATATTTCCTGGAATAATTATATTAGATTATTATGTTTAATTAAAAATTATTATTATTCTCATTTCAGCCCGATGAAATTATTCAAGAAATTGACTTAGATTATGATTCTAAAAGAGACCGATGGAATGGTTATGATCCTTCTGAACATGCCAAAATTTATGAAGGTTTGCATCAAAATTTATATAAGATGACTTTTTTTTTTACAGGAAGTTTCACAAATAATCTTGTTTATAGAATATGAAAAAATTGAGGAGGCTCGTCGCAAGTTGAAAGCAAATGAGCTTGATAAGCAGAGTACTACTGAACTAGTAAAGAAGACTGGCGAACGTACTGCTGGTGAATTTTCTAGCGATGAAGAAGAGGATGATGATGACAAATACGCGGAAACGTCAGACATGCCTGGGCAAAAAGTCAACACAAAGACAAGAACTACAATTAGAAATTTGAGGTAAATAGTTCAATCTAAAGTGAAATTAATTTCATGCTCCAAATTAAAAGAAATTACTTGCTAGAATTCGCGAGGATACTGCTAAGTATTTGAGAAATCTGGACATAAACTCTGCATATTATGACCCTAAAACTCGATCGATGCGTGATAATCCTAACAAAGAAACTAATCCTGAAGATGTAATTTTAATAGTTAATTATTTTAGAAAAAGATTTTTTTTCTTTTATACTAAATAATTAATATAATTTGACTTTAGGCTTCATATGCAGGTGACAATTTTGTGCGATATACCGGCGACGCACCGAAAATGGCAAACCTACAACTTTTTGCTTGGCAAGCATATGAGAAGGGCACAGACGTTCATCTGCAAGCAAATCCTACCCAGGGAGAATTACTACACCATGAATACCTCCAAAAAAAGAACAAACTAAAGGAAGTAAACAAAGATTCGATATTAGAGAAATACGGTGGCGAAGAACATTTAAATGTTCCACCTAAAGAATTGTTATTAGCTCAAACAGAAAGTTATGTAGAATATTCAAGGGCAGGAAAATTGATCAAAGGTCAAGAAAGAGCAAAAGCAAAGTCAAAATATGAAGAAGATGGTAATTATATAATAAAACATATAAAATATATATTCATAATAAATAGTTTTATATCAATAACTAATACGATTTTAATATATACAGTATTGGTCAATAATCACACTGAAGTCTGGGGTTCATATTGGGCCGATGGAAATTGGGGTTATAAGTGTTGTCGTTCCTTCATTAAAAATTCATATTGTACTGGTCTTGCAGGAATTGAGGCTGCAAATTCTTCCAACTTGTTGACATCATCTACAAACGTCGATGGTTCAAACATCAAAGATAACAGTGAGATTTCAAGTAAATCTCTTGTAGAAATACACGCAGAAAAACTTAAAAAATCCAAATCTAGGAATACGGATGAGGACGTAAATATGCATATAAAACGCAAGAACCTTGGTGAAGGTGATATCGAATTGGACAAGAAGAAATTAAAGAAAGCATTAGAAAATGAAGATAGACGATATAAACTAAATAATCCAGAATTAGACGACAGAAAACGTCCTTACAATAGTGCTTTTATGAGCAAGAACAAAGTTGATTCTGAGGTAACGGAAGAGGAGCTAGAAGCTTATAGACTGAAAAAACAATCGTAAGTATAATTTTCTAAATTTACTTATATATTTCATATACTAATATTGAATTATTAC